TGGGCTGCGACTTGCCTGTCTGGAGCAGGTGCGAATGAAGGGCCAGGCCCTGAGTGCTCTGCCCCAGTGATCACCACTTGGCTCGATCCTTGGAGCTCAAGTCGTATTTCCTTCAACATCTAATACAAGATCAACATCGGTGCGGACACACTGGGAACATTCACAAAAAACAATCACCTCTTGGCCGCTCTTCATCAGGTCTCTCGCAGCCGGCTGCCCAGCCTGATGTAAAGTAACGATCCTTTGCATTTCTACTTGACTTTTGAAGATCTTCAGGAGGATTTCCCGACTTTCTATATGTAAGACTGTGCTCCCTTCCGGTACATCCTTCTGCTCCTTTCTAAAGAATAGTTAAAGCAAGCTCCGATGGAGGCTTCGGCTACACATAATATAAACGAACCTCAACTTAACCATAGAAATCAGCTGACAGCTCAACGGAAATGTCAACACTAGCTTACCTCGAATTCCTTGATTGCATTGTCCAGGTTCCGATGGCATTGTTCGATTTCTCGCGCCATGTCAATACGTCGAACTGCTCGGGCGTCAGCGAATCCGGCCCAGATTCCCTGCAGTCTACTTACACCATTGGCTTATAAGATTCTGGTTCCGCCACCTTCTGGTGCACTTGAGCGTGTTCTTCAACACACTGCCCGCTATTGTGAGATGATGTATTCCAGCTTTGAGTACGAGGGACTCACTTGACGACCTCGTCAATACGCGTTTGCAATGCGGTACCCTCCAGGCCGCTTGACTCATCTTGGAGAGCATTCGCCAGTGCCATGCACTTCTCCCCAAGAGACTTTGCAAGGCCCTATGAAATGAAATTGGATTCAGGGAGGACACAAGATCTCATACACGCACACCTTCTGCTGGGAAACTTCCTGACACGTTTTGACTATTTCAAGGGCGATACCCGCTGCGATTGGGACTCCAGCAACAGGTACAGCCGCCTGCAAGAAACCGAGGGCTACACCGATATGTTGTAGCATGATATACATGGGGAATGGGGGGAGGGGTGTGCATGCCTCGTGTGTCGTGGGTGAGTTTAAATAGTAGTTGCTGGACACAGCCGAACGAAAGGCGCCAAGGCGTCTGGATATGCGCAAGTTATTCCTGGTCGCGGGGGAACGCCTTGTATATGTCAGAACACCCAGTCCTGAACGCCGACTATGAATCGCGAGTACAAGCAGCGTTCCACCATAGATACTATGCCCACCCGCTTCGGTAGCGTGGGGTGATTGGGATGGGACTCATGGTGGCTGATGGCGTCGATGACGAAGGTGACTCGAGAGAAAACAACGACGGCGAAGGCCCCGCTCAGCTTGTAGCTACGTGTCTGCGGCTAGAGGAAATGGCCCACAAGTCCCTCGCAGCACGGACCCATGACGTCATCATCCCCAGCTACTCTGCCTGGTTGACATGTCCAAAATACACCCCGCGCGGTCTCCGATCCCTTCACCCAGGAACGCGCCTACCCATCCAAAATACCACAGCCAGCGGTGCACCACCAATTGCCAACGGCAAAGCACTCTCAGCCTCCCTCGAACTTCGTTCCTCCATCTACCAAACCTCAGTCAAATCCTCCAGAGCCCTCTCCTCTGAAGCTACTACCCTCGTAAATGGCGCCTCAGCCAACGGCTCTTCTCTCTCTCCAGCCCAACAAACCCACACTTGCGATACCTGTGGCACAGACTGGTCCCTTGTCCGCTACCACTCCCTCAGAGACAAAAAAAAACTTGAAATATGCGTACCGTGCTACCTCGGCGGTCGTTTCCCCTCCACCCTCTTCTCAGGTGACTTTGTTAAACTCGCCGTCCAACCACCTGGTGTACCTGGCGGTGCAAACAATGACTGGTCAGACCAAGAAACCCTACTTCTCCTTGAGGTGTCGAGATGTGTGATGACGACTGGTCCGAGATCGAAGAACACGTCGGCACCTGTACCGCCCAACAATGTATTCGCAAATTCCTGGAATTCTCCATAGAGGTCCCCTACATTCAAACAGAGGGTAGCATGGGCCCTTTACGATTCGGTCGAATCCCACCCGACCAAGCCGATACTCTAGCGATGAGTGTTGTCGCATTCCTCGCAGGCGCCATCTCCTCAGGCGTAGCAGCCGAGGCCGCCAAAACGGCTCTTAAAGAACTCACAGATGGTGAAGGTGGTAAAGCCGTCAGTGGGGATTCGAAAGACGGCGAATCAACCGAGAAGAAGGTTGATGATGATAAGATGGATGAGGATGCGCCGGTGGTTAAAGATGCTTCGACGGCGGATAGCACAATGCCTGATTCACACCCCCTGCCTACTACATCCATATCTACGTCTGACCAGGGATCCTCTCTTGGACATCATACTTTACCCCTACCCTCCCGTGCAGTACTGCTGCTCAGCTCGCCCTGTCCATTTCTGCAAAAGTTGCGTCTACTCTCGCCTCTGCCGAATCACACAATATCCGTAACACCCTCTCCACCCTCATCAAACTCACTCTCACAAAACTCGAAAATAAAATGACGCAATTTGAAGAACTTGAAGAGATACTCGAGGAAGAGAGGAGTTTGGAGAGTGCGAGGGTGGTGTTGGTTAACGAGAGACCGGGGTTGAAGAAAACGTTGGATATGGCGAGGGGGGAGGTGGTTGGGCATCAACAGACGCAGACTGCATCTGCGACTGCTACTGCAGGTGTTGCGAGAATGAATGGTGCTACAGTACCGACGCCTGCGTTTTCTCAGGGTGTCGTTAATGCTGCTACGAATCCTGGTGTGGTGTTGGAGAGTACAGGAAAGGGTACGGTTGTGAATGAGGTGCAGTCGGGTCAGAGTTTGGACGGCGTGGAGGACGCTACAGTTGAGTTGAGTGTTGTAGGTTCTTCCCGCTGTGTCCGCTTTTTTTTGGTGCCTTTGCATGGTACTTATATGATATTGAGTGATGTTGTATTACCTTTTTTCTTTACCTTTGTTTTGCTTGATAAGTTTCTTTTCTTTGTCCAACTCGGATGAGCACGCTGAACGTGCGCCCTTTTTCGTGGCCTCTGAGGAAACCCATGTGCGAAAATATGAAACTGGGTTCTTAATCGAAAGCTTTCAAAACACTAGAAGACCTGAGCATGTTGTGAGAAGAGAGCAGCCTAAAACAGAAAAGGAAATTGGACCCTACGCCTCACGACTGACCTTGTAACTGAAGAAAATTAAAGAGTGAAAAAAACTACGCAAATACGGAACGCAACGATCACAAAAGCCAAGCGGCGGTGAAGCTGACGCTCAGTAAAGACACACATTTCTAAGGAATGTCCTCTCCCCGGCGCTGAATGGTAACACCACGAGCGACCTGCCGCAGCGCAACATCCATTCGCGCCCCTCCCCAAGGCCGCGGAAGAGCACGTGCTGCACTCGGACAAATGGAAGCAAGGCGATAATACTCCTCATGATATCGCCTGGTATCTGGAACTAGTCCCCGGATGGTCTCCAAACAAGCTTCGACCTTCCTATCTGTCTTTCGTTCCGGCAACTGCATAGCGTCAGCATCAACCTACGACATATTAAATGCCACCACACACCGTAGGATCCAAAAACACAAATCGCGCAGCCTTGATCGCATTCCCTCGACTCGGCACCCTCTCCGGGATCTTCGTGGTACAAATCTCAAGCTGGCTCTTAATACACCGTCTCACACCAAACGGAAGCCCCATCCAGAAATACAAATCCCGTTCCTCATAACTGATTTTATCGACAATGAACCCACGCGTGATGCTATCGAAATTCTTCTTATATTGCACAAACGCGTCAAAAGTACGCATCGACCGGACGGCATGTGCGCAAACGAACTGCTCCAGTGCGTCTGGGAAGAATTTCGGGGGCTGCCATTGTGGAGTTTGGGGTTCTTGGAAAATGTGTCGGATGGCTTTCATGGCGTCTTTTCTGCGCCTGGGTAGAATGTCCCGTCGTTCCATGCGAGATGTTGCAAGGAGTTGTTTTTTGATGCGGCGCCTGGTGGTGAACGGGAGCCCTGTCCAAAAATACGCGCCTCGCTCGTCGCGGTTGAGCGTGATTTTGAAGGCGTGAAGCTCTTTTATGAGAGCGTCGAAGCTGTTCTCGTATTGTATAAGGTCGTTAAATGTCTGCATGGAACCGTCAGAGGCGTGTTCACGAGTGAATTTCTCGAGGTCGTCAATGGACCTGTGGAGTTGTGCGCTTTTTGTCGCTGACCGGTGGAGGAATTTCATGTTTGAGTTGGACGAGTCGGCAACTGAGACTTTTCACGGGTCATGTTTCTTAACAATTGAGATGATTACAGCTGTACAGATTCGATCAAATGCGCCCCGAATAAAAAGAGAAATACAGTTTCTTACTTTTCTGTATCGACCGCTTGTCGGCCACTTGATTAACAACAGGAGTCCAGGCTATGTCTCGTGTACGAGCAGCAGTCAGAAAGTCTTAATTTAAAATCGTCGTTTTCCTGAAAGCTGAAAGCAGTTGGGTCAAGAGCTAGGAGTCTTGCGCCAAACACCAAACGGCAAAAATAACTCATCAGTGTTTTCCATAAGTCCCGATGGCGATTTGAACGCCGGACCCCAAGATCTGCAATCTCATGCTATAACCACTTAGCTATCGAGACATCAAGCGGTAGTGATCTTGTCAGCTGGCGCCAGACAACAACAATAACACACCTACCGCCTGGTTCCAAACACAACGCAGCCTTGCAAATGTAACACCCCTTGTAATAAATTATTATCATTTCACGCCAAGCCCACTCATTCGCAATCCAGGGCGATATGATGATTCATTGACTCAGGTGTTCAATTCTCGATCTTTAGTACATACCAGTTCTCAATATACAACGACGGGCTAGGGCATCGAGGTTCTCGCGATGGCAGACAGAAATATTGAGCTAGGCTCGACATACCCAACCGTCGTACAGACGGTACCACCTCGGCCTGTGCAACCAATCCCCATTCTTGGATTATTGGTATATGCATTCTTCCTTCTCCTATACGCTGGACATTTGTCCGGTAAATTTCTTTACCATATTCATCTCTTACTAGCCGATGTTTAACCGGCATTATATCTTATTTTCTTTGGAGCCCTAGCACCTCAGTTGTCAACCACGCCCCGTTGACACTGAGGTGAGTAAGCTACGATATCTACCTCATAACTAGACACTGATGTATTGTATACTGATGTATCATAGATTGACTGTTTATTAAGAAAGTGTCAAGTTTGAATGATATTAAAACTGTTCATCATTAAGAGCCATGAATTTAATTTCATACGGATTCAAGGTATAGAAATTACATGTACAGGAGGTCGTACTAACGGGCATCAATCTCCACTTGGTTCGAGGGGGAAGAATACTAAAGGTCGAATACGTTTCCCTCTAGATTGGTATTCTTGACCCGCTTCGACGATAGCCCAAGAATCCTTTAAAATTCTAACCTTTGATTTCAGACAAAGCGCGGAGAGCTCCAATACGAGCTGTTCCTTGCTTGGTTCGGTTCCTTGTGGGAGTAACTCAGGATAGCCGTCCATCCCCCATTGCTAGAAGATATCATCAATGGTGCGTTTATTGAGTGAAGAGAAGCGTACATACCTTTTTGAATTCGGCTGAAGGGGTAAAGTGCTTGTGTGTATGCCAGTTCCACCGCTTCAGGTCTAGGGGTGGACTAGGGCTACACATAAGGTGCACGTAACTCGTAGGTTGGTCAACACGGATGCGCTTCAGGAGGGTCACATCTAGCTCCATTTCTGTACCAAGGAATCGGTCCTGTATGTCGGTTGGACACTGGCGCAACCCGAATTAAACCAGTTGCCAAGTAGGAACGACTCATACACGCACATAATATCGCATCCAGATGAAGAAATCGATAATATAGATCCAGAACTGCAGGAGGTGTTCAATTCGGTTGTATTGAACTTCGTTGAGGAATTCCGAGATTGTCTGGACGGCGAGGGAACCGGGGGACTTGGATAATGAATATAGGTGCTCAAGCCAGGTGATCCCAATAGTTGATACATAATAAGATAGAAGGGATACACCTGGCCAGGACCATGTTACATTATCGTAGGAGGCAGGCGCTATGGGTGAAAGATTCAGTCCAAACACTAGCTCATCGCAATGTATTGGAGCAAGAAGAAGACGAACCGGAATCTGTGCCCACATATTCACGCAGAATACGGGAACAACCTCGGAAAAGGGCAATGTCGACTTCTTCTGGATCGATGAAATACTGGTTCGATCGTTTCGGATCACTCAGGTAATCGCTGAATGAAACATGGAACATGCCAAGCTTTCCTACGACAGCAACAGTTGGCGTTGGTATGATGACGATTGAATGAAGTCCCAGTTGGCGTTGGTATGATGACGATTGAATGAAGTCGCTGGAGGGCATGATAAACAGCGTTCTGTTCCAAACCGAGCAGATTTGCGACGATGATAAGTGGTTCATTGGGCCTACGGAGCATGGCACAGCCAAGAAGGAGCTTCGTGATAGGGAGAATAGAAGACGGAACAGAGTTCATGATTTCCGTGTACAAAACGTCCAGCGCTGCAAGGGGCATCTGTTCGTCGTATGCCTTGATAAGTTCGGTTTTATTGACCACCGCCAAAATGGAAAGCAGCTGGGAAATTGGGTCTCCATACGCAGACTCGCCCCCAATGAATCTGATCACCGTAGTGGCAAAGCCAAAGTGACCTGAAGATGCACGAGCGATTTGAAGGAATTGATACTCTGTGGGCCATTGCTTGACTGACACGGGAAAACTTTCAGGGTGGGTTCGTCGGATTTCAGCAAACTGCTCCTGCAGATAGTGCTCTA